AAGTGAGAAAGAATCATTGCTTTTGCTACACAACCAGCAGTAAAGGGCTACAAATATGAGCCATTTTTAACAGAATGTATCACTTTGTTTGGTTCACAAACTGCTGAATGAAATTGTCTCTACAGTAGAACACGATAGACCAATGTGAGCTAATGTGCTGGGTACAGCTGCTCATGATTTGGGGAAAAAAGCACGACCAGGATGTGGCTGTGAAACCAATTAACCAAAACAATTAGTGGCCAGAAGTGTTAAAAAGCTTTTGTAGGATGTTGCTTTTCAGTGGGGGGTTCAAGCAGCAACACTTTAGCTTTTAGAAAATGCTCATTGATTAAACATCCACATCAGATGTACTTTAAATTGCAGGTTCATGTTAAAAAGTTGATTATGTTGCACCACTATTTGCGTGCTCCCTTTTTATTTAAGGGCTTTCAGTTATTGCACTTTTGATACTTAACTGGTTTGAGTATTCGCAAAAGTGTATCTTTGCATTATGTGCCTTTACAAAGACTTTTCATGTGCTGCCTGATTTTAGTTTTTACATTGATATATTTGGTATTACAATGTATGTGATGGTTTTAAATGTGTGGGAGAATGAACTGTGGAGGAAGCTTGTTACAGCTGGGAGACTGAAGTGGTTCTTGGTTATTATTTTTTTTATGGCAAACTTGGACATACGATGAACCCCCAACCATCTGCAGGTTGTAAAAGTGCCTCAAAGCAGGGAGAGTTCTCTGAAATGTATGTTGATTTATACAGGAAGTACTTAGGGACCGATTGTGTTTTTCCTAGGAACTTTTTACTGGTATATGTACAAGCTTAGGAGCCTTATGAATAATTGTGAGAAGTCACTTTGTTAAGACATACCAGCTTTTAATTGTATTTTAATTGAATAAGGTATTAGAGGAGAATTAGGAAATGTTTTCTACATCAACAAAAACAAACCTGTTTTTAAAAGTATATTCACTGGGTTGCAACTAGGCTGATGATCAGCGAGCCGTGCAGTTGTGTTTTGCATGACCAGTTTTATTAAATCAACAAGTTTTTGTGTATACGAGCTCACAAAACTGTATTATTGGGTGCGCACGCAATTTCACTGCCCACTTTCGCCCTGACGTTTATGATCTGTTTTCTATTGGGGTACGCTTTTAAGAATGTTTTGTAATACATATATATATTTTTACACCTACATGGATTTTAGCTCTTGTGCTGATGTCAAATGACAACTCTAGTGCTCTTGCAGACTTTTTGTAGACTCTCATGAATTCCTGTCACCCACTGGTGACCAGCAGGCGCAGCCCAGTGCGATACTAACCTTGGGTTAAATATTTTGGTGTCATTGTCCCCAGTTAATTGAGCTCAGTGGTTGAAATGTCTGCTCTCCTCCAGATGTTGTGAAATGCAGYACGAGGCCCTTCCTGTCGCCGAGGGGTAATGGATGTAGGGGTGCTGAGCAAAATGTAAGTTATTAGTAGCTTATTATGTGCAATATTACAGATAATACAGCTGGACAGGCAGCTCTTAGAGGACAGAACTGTTACTTTCAGAAAACATTTGCCTCAAGTACAGCAGTGTGTGTGTGTCACAGTACTGTTTATGACTCATACCTTCTGTTTGATGCAAAGTGAATACACTGTAATTTCTTTGACAGGCCCTTTTTAATGTATTTTCGCTCTTTCTCTAGACACTTTTTTATTCCTTCAAATTTACTTTGATACACATAAAGGCGAGGCGAGTCCTTTTATTTAACTGTAATTGGATTTTAATATATATGTTGGAAACACTACAGCCACAGCGGTGGTCCCTAAGCAGCAGTGTTTTTACTGTATTATATGCCGTGTGAACACAGAGCGTTGAGGTCAAGTTTTACGCATCTCTTTAACGAGAGCAGTTTTTTTTATTGTATTAGTGCACCAGCTATCTTAGTGTGAATGTCTTTTTGAAGAGAGTAGTGCTGAGTCTTCCAGGAAAAAGAAGAATCACTGTGAAAAAAGAGGCTGAGATTAAAACATGAAGTTACTGAGATCTTTGCCTTCTGTCAACATGAAAGGCCTAAAATTAAGGCGAAATGGGCAGAATGATTGTCTCGTTTTGTTACCACAGTCATCATCACTGAGCGAASGCTCTTGTGTATTTTTGTCTATAATTTATTTACCTGTCAGATCTCCTGAATGACACAGACGTTAAATACTTCTGCACTAACAGAGGCTTTTGTGACGTTCTTTGTACATTTATAAATATTTCATAGGCACTCTATTTTTAAAACTTGTTTTCTAGTTTTTACATAGCAAGTTATATTTTGTCTTTTTTTTGTCCCAAAAAAAAAAAAAAGTCTTGAAAAATATTTTGTAATTTGTGGTTCCAGAAAATCAAGTTGTGTGCATCTCATGTTGATTTTGAATACAAAAGTTGGCTGTTGAAAGTAAAAAATGAACAAAAGCTGAATTCACTGGTTTACATTGTTTCATGCACAGGTACGCCAAAAAATAAAAACAACCCAAAGCGGGACATTTTAGTTAATGCACACCTAATTGAGTGCTGTAACTCTCAATAAACTGTGAATTATTGTAATTTAAATAAAAATAAACAATATTTGAAGACATATCGCTTTTTTTCTTTATTTTTTTTTAGAATAAAAGCAGTTTTTTTTGTATTTTACCTACAAACTCCAGTTTGTCCTTTAGGTGTCAGCACAAGAACACATTTCCTGTCTGGCCCACAGGTAGAGGACCGGTTACTACTGCTGGTTTCAGAGCTGATAAATGAAACAAAACAACACTGGGAAACATTTCCAACACACACGCACAAAAAAATGTATTTTTTTGTTCACTGTCATTCCAATTTGCAGCATGTTCCAGAGAGGCTGCTGTCAAACATTCCTGCTCATGTTAGACCCGAACTATTCCTGATGTCTGGGTTGGGTAGAAACAGGGAAAATGTTGCGACCTTAATTACAGCTTTAGTTATTTCGAGGGTCTATGTGCAGTACCCTTAGGCATGCTGTAAAAACCACATAACTACAGAGCAGCTGCGTTCGAATTGTAAGCCATTATTTTGTACTTCGTTTCACGTTCAGTCCCAGGACTTTCTCCTCCCTCGTGGGCACACAGTTGGTCCAAGGCCCGACGACACTGGCACTGTAAAAGCACGATTTTATTTTTGACGTTTTATTCCACTTTCAATATTCTGTGGTAGACCGAGACGGCGTTGAAGCAAAATGACACAATTTTGGCAACATGTAGGAACTCATTTAGACTTTATTTGCCACTGTTAGACCTTGGAGGGATATAAAAAATAAATAAAATAGTTGCTCATTCTTTAAAATGAACTCCTTTAAATTGCATTTTGATTGAACTGTAAAGAAAAAAAATAATACAACATAAACTGAACTGAGCTCTGGAGATAAAAGGGTACTGATTTCTTTTTTTAAATCTAAAATTTAATAGTATTTATCATATTTAACATTTTAAAATCAGTTCTAACAGAGGAAATAAACACATTATTATACATACATTATGTACAAAAGCGACTGGTGTTTTTGGTGGGATGAAATTTCTCTGAAATCCTGACAGGAGCTTGCATCACCTTCAACTTCTATTCTGAGACCTCAGCAAAGAGATGTTTAGTAGGTTGGCCAAAAAAAAAAGGGAAATAGTTAAAACGTAACACCTCTTACCAGATAGATTATATTACAATTATGTGTAAACACGCAGCCTTCACATCTTGAAGTTCTCAAGAGCTGAGCTCAGATAAGCAGGTGGAGGAATTCCAGTAATGTGAGCCAAATGTCGTCAAGGATGAGAAGTTGTCCCTCCTGTTGCTCTGCAGACCTGCTGCCTGTTTCACGTCACACACACTGATAACTGCCACATTATCTCCTCCTCAAAGCAAGGCTTCTCAAACTCAGGGACGGGACTTTATTTGAATTTGGGGGCCTAAATTTTGCAAGCAGAACTACATTTTTTTAAACTGTTTTCAGATGGACCGGACAGTGAGAAACGAAACCACACTGCAGGCTTTGGAAAAAAATAAATAAGCAAAAACTCTCCAAATAGCAATCTAGAGACAAAAGTCACTAAAGAAAAGTCTCATTTAAAAGAAACATTTTTTTTAATTTTATAATACTATTTCCAAGAAAAGTTTGAGAACCTCTGAGAGTTTGGATGAAGACCTCTGTTTGCTGCGTAATCAYTTCCAAAATGACCCGACTATCCCTTTAAGGCAGGGATGTCCAAAATGTGGCCCGGGGGCCATTTGTGGCCCCTGAACTGATTTTGTGTGGCCCGTGACTTCAGTTCAAGAATTATACAATTTTTTTTACAAAGTTGCCCCCCTGCCACAGGGGTTTGATGTAAATGGAGACTTTCTATTTATTGTAAGGGCAAAATTATCACAAAGTAAAATCTTACAATAAAAAAAAATCTTGGCAACAGTATGTGTCTTTAAGTAACAAGACTGTTAGCTTTTTCCACATCTATCATGACTTCTGCTCAAAAGCTGAATTTACTGCACTCCAATCTGCTTTTAATTAATTTATTAAATTTATCTGAAYACAGCAAGCATTTTCAATGAAAGAGTGACCTAAATCCTGGTTTTATTGATCAGAATTGACTAAATTGGGTTATTTTTCCCCAATTAAAACCTAGAAAATTGCAAAATTTCTTTCAATAAGGGAAACCTGCAAAAATAATTTTAAAATTATGGATCTAGATTAATTTGCACATCCATTTCTAGCAATAAATCTGACTATTTTATTTGTTTAATTAAAGTATTCAATGCTTAGTTTATTGTTGAGCAGATAAAGGAAAATATTTTTGGCCCTCAAGTCCTTCTGACTTTATGATTTTGGCCCATGTGACAAAATGTTTGGACACCCCTGCTTTAAGGTTTCGCAGACTGTCATTTGAAAGAGTTTTGGACACAGAAATCACTAAGTTGTGCTTAAGAAGTGCCACTGAACACGCCGTTTTTGCGATAAAGGTTTTTTGCACGCCGACTCCCGGCTTCACGACTCAAGTAAAACCGGCCCCGTGTTCAGCTCAGCACACCAGCCCCCGTGTGACTTCKCTTTAGGATAGCTACAATTATGAATGACAGAGGAGAAGATTGCTATGCATGGCCTGTACAGGACGCCATCAGAGACCGTGATTGGGAACCTTTTGAAAATGTCAAAGTGACACATGATTATGAATATTAAACAGCCATGTATAGCACATGATTACTGGGAGGAGGGGAGTGGGCTTTTTGGCAAATGGAGCCAAAGAGATGCATGGCAAATCTGCAGCAAGAGAGAGTATTAAAAAAAAAAAAACTCAATGTGTTGACATGAAAAAAGAAGGTTTCTTTGTTTTCAGATTTAACCCACTTTTCTTTCCCAGAGTCACATTAGAGTTCAGTCATGGAAACCTTTTATAAACAGAGCATGATACACAGCTCTGGAAAAAATTAAGACACCACTCAAGAGTTTTCCTGTATTTGGTTGAAAGCGTTCCACCGAATATTGATTTCTGAACTCTTCCTGAGTTAAAACRTTAGTTTTGTTGTTTCTACATGAAAATGAACTGGTTTTCTTTTCGGTATTTGAGGTCTTAAAGCACTGGATCTTTGTCTTCATTTTGCCCACTTCTCATTTTCTGCAAATAAATACTAAATTTTTGCTTGGAATTTCGGAGACATGTTGTCAGTAGTTCATAGAAAATATAAAATGTTCATTTTACTCAAACATATATGAAGAGTGAAAGAAACGAATCATTATAAAGTGATCTCTTAATTTTTTCCAGAGCTGTATATCATCTGACTCACCCCAGTTCAAAGTGGGACTTAGGAGCCCGTTTTTTTTTTTCTGTCATGGACTGATAAAGACTAAAATATTCCTTGTGAGGTCAGACGTTGTCTCATTTTACACAATGGTAAGTAAGTTAGAGGTTCTCAGCCAAGCATGTAGACTGATGGCAACTTTAATAATAAAAACCCCCCACAAAAATCAGGGATGTTGTCCTTCAAATATTAATAAACAATGAGGAGCTGCGTATCAGAGTTGGGGGGGGGGGGGGTCTCTAATTTACACAGTGGTTATGTCAAAGTCTGAAAAGCCGGAGTGAATTTATGACTCTGTCCCTGCTACTTCATCACTGATAGTTTCCATTGCTGGAACAAAACATGACACGTAGCCATTCATTCACCCGGGCTTCTGCCCTTGTTTGGGGGGAAAAAGCTATCTGGAACAGAATCTGTGCAGAATGGGAAACTTGTAGCAAAAACTGAGAGCTTCTTCTGAAAGGGGGATCAAGAACCAGAAAGTGTTCCTTTGAGAGATGCGTTTGAGCTATTAATGTGCAATTAAACCAATTCAGATGACAGCCGCACGCTGTTAGAAAGCGATGGAAACAAGCCAAGAAGGTCCCTGATGATTAAAAATAAATAACTAAATAAAAAAACGCTCTGATTAAATTCACAAAGTGGCGTTTTTATCCAGAGGTGTTTTCCTGCAGTGGGGAAAGGCCAACAGTGACTCAGCTGGTTCTCAACGTTTTCAGCCCCTAGAGTAAATCGTTTAGACTAACCAAGACTAATGTGTCAGATTTAACTGTAACTGGAAAAAAAAAATGTAATTTAACCCCTCCTCCTGGTAGGGAATTGAGTTATTTAAAAAAAATATCTTGTTTTTGTGACATTTTGTCTCCAGGTTTTGGCCTGTGGATCCATCAAACAGAACCTCCACGCTCCATCAGCCTCTGATTAGTTAAAAAAAGGCAGAGAAATAAAACAAAAGCAATCACTTTTTTTTAGAACCATAAAGYCCAATCTGTGCACAAGAACCCAACAAAGAGAAGTTTTAAGGAGCTCAGCATTATCACATAATTACTGGCTGCAAAAAGTCTATTTATTTAAATAAACAATACAGCTGTCTGTGCAAAAAAAGCAGACATGTTAGCAGAAATAATAAACGCCTTTTATATGTGAGGGTTGATGCTGATGTTTAAAGTTTTTTAAATTTTATGTTACTCAAATGAAAACAACGGACCAGCACCTGGAAGCTGAAGCCGAACTGTGACCAGCTTCAAGTTTAAGTTTTAAAGTGCCTGTGACATCAATTTTTTTGTAATACATATGAATGCATTTTTAGAAAGAGGACATTGACAAAATATTGCAAAAGAAATTTCACATTGCTGAGATGAACAGTTGTTGAGAAATTTGCCTGTGAAGCAACAGGAAGTGATGTCAAAGGGGAATGTCTGCATGTGAACAGAGCGTCGCTACAACAGCCAACAACCCAGACTGCAGAGAAGAATCTGATGTTTCTCAAGATTATTTTGAGTCTCTATCAGAGATGAAGAAGAGTCAAGTGTTCAATTAATATTTTTTCAATAAACAAAGACAGATATTTTTCTTTCTTAAAAAAATTCCTTTGATGTCACTTCCTGTTTCACTTTTGCTGAGCCAAGTTAAAAAGAAAATAGGCCAGTTATGGGACAAAATGGGTTAAATCGTGTGTATCATTCCAGCTTTCTTAAATATAAAGATGTTTTCTTTGACTTTTTGTATTTAAAGAATAGGCATGTCACAGGAACTTTAAGTCCAAATGATGATTCAGCATCAACTCGACTAACCTGACCGCCTACGATCGCTAAAACTGCATCTTCTTTTCCCATTTTTTGTGCTCTTAAAGTCCGCCATGTTCTTGTCCCTCATTTTTGAGTTGAAGTCACTCATCGGCTTCAGAAACACTGTTTGTGCTCCGACAGTTTTGCCTCTCCAGAGTCTGTAGATAAAAAAAAAAAAAACCCACTCACTGTAATAACACTCACCTAGCTTTCTGGCTAACTTCTCTCCTTCCAGCCCCCGCTTCTTAATGAATAAGCTTAGCGGCGTTGTGTCACTTTAATGTGCTCAGTCATGTGTGCAAAATGTTTAAGGATGCGCAAACACACACACACACACACACACACACACACACACACACACACAC